TATTTCCTTACATCTTTCATAAACATATACCAACTTAAAATTAAAATTGGTAGTGTTTGGGTGCCAATTGCAGCACTGAACAGGAATGTATACTACTTGATGGACCGAAACATTCCCAATCAAATTTTAATTTTATTTTATTCAAATTTTCCTTTTTTATTATTTCCTTACATCTTTCATAAACATATATCAACTAAAATTAAAATTACTATATCAGGGGCATTGTACGAGGTCCTTTGGTAAAATGGAGTTTTCTTTCTTGCCTCTCATAAGTTATGCCCGAGTTCATGCCCCGTCAATCTATGGGATAGGCCCTAGTGCGTCGCACGAACTACACACCACCCCATGGCTTATCGCGGTCTTTAGGGGAGGAACGATTCAGGACCCGAACTTAACATACCTGTGTTACGGAGGGTAGGCCTTGGGTAAATCGTGGCAACGGCCGAGGTTGCTCGGCTATTGCTGCTTACGTGCAGGCGGGGAAGTAAATAGCCACTCGGGCGAGTTTCGAACAAAGTTCGATTCTTCCACTAGGACAACCAATCCCTCTACGATTAATTTCGATGGTAAACTGGCACTGGCAAATTCCAAGGGTTCCAGGACTATTATTGGCGAGGAACGAAGTGGGGCGGAGGTCCCAAGACATGATTGAAAGAAGTCTGATGCTAAATCAGCATGATTTGCCGACAAGTTTGTTCCCCTGGATTAGAGCATGACCAAATTTGTGAAAAATCGATTTTTTGTTCCTGACCTGTGCACAGCCTGAAATAATATGTCTCGAAAATTTCAGCTTTCTAGCTTTTTAACTTCACTAAAAGCTTTGTCGTAACATCCATGCGCAATCTTTGGCGCATATCACGAATATTTATGTATCCTTCATTAGTTTCCTTATAAATATAAGACCCTGTAACTAAAGAAGCAAATCAATAACCTTTTGTCAGCGAGTGGTTGCTATTGGCATTTACTATCCTCCAAACACTTCCGGCTGCCTCTGCCTCGAATACAAGTGAATACGGGAGGAGTTCTTTTTTGTCCTACGGCCCTGATACTGCATTTTTGTGTTGATTTATGCAAAAAAGTGCTTAAAAATGTGCTTCAGATAGGCAAATTTTGTGTGCATCAACACCAGGGAGCTTATTGAAGGGAATCCTCCTCAAATGCGATGCAAAAAGAAAAATACGGGAATTTCATGGCGGGTTGGGGTGCCGGATTGGTGGAAACGCTGTTGCTTTATCCGCAAAACAAAGTGATCTTCCGTCAGCAGTTGCACGGTATCACTGCAATTCAGGTGTTCCGGCAGGTATTTTTTTTCGCTTTTTCCCTCTGTCTACCTATTTCACTGTTTGCAACAGTATATATAGGTTTTTGAAACAGTGTATATGGGCAGGGAACATTCTCCTAAAATTTCAGCTTCCTAGCTTTTATGGATTCACAGTTGAAAACTTGGGAAAAACGCTTTCGAAGACCGCGCAAAGGACTACGTTGTGTAATTCCAGTGTTGAAGGGGTATATTCCATGTGCAGTTATGCTAGGCTCTCCACTTTTGAGCTATATACCAGCAGTTACCTGTCCGATGTATGTGCGCAACTTCTTTGAAGTCTACCCGAGTGATCGTTTACTTTCATGCAGAATTTTTTTTTCTACTTTCTACCTAAGTGGTCGTTTACTTTCTTGCAAAATTTCAGCTGTAAAGCTTTTATAGGTCTCGAGATGAAAAATCGATATAGACGAACACACAGATACAGACATAGACAGACGCGCAGGCACACAGACAGGCAGACACACAGACACACACACACTGACAATCCCTCGTCAGTATGCTTTTTCTGCATTGCATAGATGCAAAAAACGCGCAGAAATGACGTATCAAGCGTAATTCGGTAAGGGCCTGAGAAGGAAAATTTA